CCCCAGAAGCAGATTATATTGATGCGTGTGTGGTATCAGTGCTTCAGATCCATGCAACACAACCAGTGGGAGATATATTAGTTTTTCTCACTGGTCAAGAAGAAATTGAAACTTGCCAAGAGCTACTACAGGAACGGTCTCGCCGTCTTGGTTCTAAGATAAGGGAGCTGCTCATTCTACCTGTTTACTCCAACTTGCCAAGTGACATGCAGGCTGGTATATTTCAGCCTACTCCTCCAAATGCAAGAAAAGTGGTACTAGCGACAAACATTGCAGAGACATCCCTAACTATTGATAACATCATTTATGTAATAGATCCAGGATTTTGTAAACAAAATAATTTCAATTCACATACAGGCATGGAATCACTTATAGTTGTGCCTATCTCAAAGGCCTCTGCAAATCAACGAGCAGGGCGTGCAGGCCGTGTTGCAGCCGGCAAGTGTTTCCGTCTTTATACAGCCTGGGCATACAAGCATGAATTAGAAGATAACACAGTACCAGAGATTCAGCGTATTAATTTGGGCAATGTTGTATTGACATTGAAGGCTTTAGGAATTGATGACCTTGTACATTTTGACTTTTTGGATCCTCCACCTCATGAGACACTGGTGTTGGCATTAGAGCAGTTATATGCACTTGGGGCACTCAATCATCATGGAGAACTAACAAAACTGGGCCGTCGAATGGCTGAATTTCCCGTTGATCCCACGATGGCAAAAATGATCCTTGCATCAGAAAAATATAAGTGCTCAGAAGAGATTCTGACTATTGCAGCAATGCTTTCTGTAAATGGTGCCATTTTCTACAGACCCAAGGACAAGACAGTCCATGCTGATGCTGCACGACATAGCTTCTATACACCAGGTGGAGACCATCTCATGCTGCTGAATATTTACACACAGTGGGCTGATTCTGACTTCTCCACACAGTGGTGTTATGAGAATTTCTTACAGCATCGCTCTCTGAAACGTGCACGTGACGTACGTGATCAGTTGGCAGGGCTCATGGCACGTGTTGAGATAGATCTGGTTTCAGCAGCAGGTGACACTGCTGGAATCAGGAAGGCAATCACAGCTGGATATTTCTATCATGTGGCTAGACTGTCTAAAGGAGGCCAATATAAAACAGTCAAACATCAACAAACAGTGATGATATATCCAAACAGTAGTATGTTTGAAGATTTGCCTCGCTGGGTGATATATCATGAACTTATGTTTACAACCAAGGAATTCTTGCATCAGGTGACAGAAATTGAAAGTAAATGGCTCCTTGAAGTCGCACCTCATTACTACAAACCTCGTGAGCTTGAAGATTCAACAAATAAAAAGATGCCAAAGATGACAGGAAAGTCAAGAGCAGAACTGAGAATTAATTAGTTATCAGTGTTCACAGGTGGACATAAAATCAACCACATCAGCGACCTTTGACACGGTATCTTCCAATCAGAAGTGGGATTTGAACTTACACATGTGATCAACGAGATTCGAACTCAAGACACGTGACAATTTGGTGTCAGAATTTTTACGAGCTTAAATACGCCTCAAAGAATAATTAAACGTACGACTGCTTCGACTATTCTACTGCTACAAAATGGAGAAACAAGATTTGCAGCAGATCACAGAAATGCTGAAAGAGATTAGGGCTATCCAAATAAAAGCACACGCCGACTCGAAAGCCTGGCGAGAAAAGTTGGCCGCAGAAAGAGAAGCTACCCAAGCAAGAACGGGAGCCATAGAAGCAAGGACGGCACAACAAGAAGAGGTCCCTGTAGACGACGTCGCAGTGATACCAGTCAGTGAACCTGAAGATGAATTGATGCCGATTACCCAAAAGGAGACGGTGGCCTGCCCAGTGGACACGAAACCTGCGGCGGCACAACAAGAAGAGGTCCCCATTGCAATACCGGTCGGAGTGACGATGGCC